GTATATATAAAAAATATCAGAAAACTATCGGATTTTGTATATCAGTTATTTAGGGAAACTTTTTACCTACATACCCACATACACATATATCAACGCATGAGTAAAGTTTGCTAACACAAATGACCAATTTAATATATTGAGCCCCACATAAACACAGACAATGATATATATATATATATATATATATATATATATATATATAATCATAAGAGTCATTCCATTTAAATTCCATGTCCGATGTTAGTGATCCAAGACGGAACTGTTATAGGTAACAACACGTTATAAAACCATGTTTATGTAACTGGGTTATTTAATGTCAAAATTAGCCTCTTGTATTTCTGTATAGTGGAATCCATGGTTAAATATGGGTCAATTTTAAAATCCCAATCCACAACCACTACTCAGTGATTGGTCCCTTTTAGTAGGATGGATCTTGCTTTTCTGCCTGTCATGGCTTATTCTAGGTCCCGTCGACAAGGCGTTGCATATTAAAGTGTTTTTTTTTGTTTTGTTTTTTTTCTTAGCAAAACACACTTATTTTTATGTTTTTTAATGTCAGTGAAGCATTTCACTTGTTTGTTACGACCTATTAACACCTACGGGGTTATTTAATGTCGAAATTAATGCATTTTTTTGTTTTTTTATTATAGTTGTGTTCATGGGTAAATATTGGTTGTTTATATCCCAATTCACAACCCCTACTCAGTAAGTGGCTCCTTTTAGTAGGAAGGATCTTGCTTTTCTGTAGGTCATGTAACCAGTATATTGTAGGCCCCGCCAACAAGACGTTGCATAATTATTTTTTTTCTTTCTGAGATAAACAAACACATTGATCATAAAGACATGGTTTATGATTTTTAACCCTTTGACCACTGAACACGCCTTTACCGATGGTAGAGAAAAATGACGTAATGCCCAGCCACCGGTTGAACGATGCGTAAATACTTGTAACTATTTTTATATCTACCGCGAAACATTACGTACCAATTATTTGCGAATTTTGACTCCGGGGCCCAGGCAGAAGGGTTAAAATTGTTCAGGGACGCAAAGGGTTAATGTTCATGAAGCATGACCCTTAGTAGTTTTTTTTTTTTTTTTGTCATCTTCCTTTTGCTGTCTTGTAATCTCTTCATATCCAATTCCTTCCATAGGCGGAATTTACGGCATAAAAATGTCTATTCCACTGGATCCCAACCTTTTATGCGCAATGCATCCTTATTCACCCCATGTCATTGACCGCACTCCTTTCCATAAGGTTGGTGTGGATCTAGCTACTGAGGAGGAAGAATTAGAGAAAGAAGGTGCTAAGTGTTACATATGAATTTCTCACCGAGGTGTTGTAAATATAGAAACGGAACCAGATCTGTTTTGTGTTTTTTTTTTCCGACCGGAAACATAAAACCCCACCACTCTTCTTGTTCGTGTCCGGTATGCACTCACAAAGAAACGAAAGGCGAAAATAAATGTCACAGCGAAACCTTGTTTCCAATACATGTTAGCGTTTATTTCAAGGACTGTGGTGGGTAGATAGAAAAAACTGAGAGATGGTCCAGTTTCTATGTTTACATCCCCTCTGTTAGAAATTAAGATGTAACCCTCACTATCATTTTTTTTCTCAGTCGTTAGCTACAGAGATTTTTTTTTAGTGGAAATAGGGTAGGGGATCAAATGATATGTGGTGAAAAGCATGCATTGGGTACAAAAAGGTATCAAACAGGGTTTACGGCCACATCACAGCTAACGAACAACCTCTGTTATTGTTTGGCATCTCCGACTAACAGTCCAGCTTTTCCGCTCAATGTTGAGTTCTGTGTCGTCTCGGGATCCCCACGCTATTAATAAAAACAGTATCAACGAAATGGGTCATTTACTTTTGGTATTCGTTTTATTAACCCTGACAGCTTGGACTCTAAGAGGCAGCAAGATGACTGACAGGACTGGAACGCATGTTATACGTTGGCTCATTGTTCCGCCGCGAGTGGTATTCGTCGGTCGCAAACCCGGGCGTGGGAGGCATATCGACGCGTCAGAATTCTCGAAATCCACTGTTGAGTTCGCCCCGTTTTGGACTTGTATTCAAAACCATACAAAGGCAATCCATCACTTTCAGAATGCCTCGTCCATGATTCGCTCCGGCTAATCGCTGACCATTCTGGCACTAGACTTCGCATTTTGTAACCTTACCCCCTCTTTTACTTTTTTAAAATACATAGTAATTTGTATTTTAAAACATTGCCAAGTGTGACTTGTAGCTTATTCGGGCATTTCTCGCTATGCCCCCAGAACCAGCGCCATATACACGAGTCAAAAGTAATATTATGCAACATAAAAAAAAACATACATTCAAACATATGCTATAACAACAAATAAACTTTTACAGAAATGTACAACACTATAAAACATGAAAAAAAAAAACATTTTTATGCTTTTTAATGTCGATGAAGCATTGCAGTTATTTAAGACCTACTGGATTATTTAATGTCGAAATTGATGTTTTTTAATTAGAGTTGAGTCGATGGGTAAATATTAATCGCTTACGTCCCAATCCACATCCCCTGCTCAGTAAATGGTCCCTTTTAGTAGGAGGGATTTTGATTTTCTGCAGGTCATGTGGTCAGTTTATTCTAGTCTCCGCAACCAAGACGTTGCATATTCATTGATCATGAAGACATGTTTTATGATCTTTAATGTTAATGAAGCATGATACTTGGTTGTTGTTTTTTGTTATCCACGTTTCGCATCTCAGTCTGCCTTGTAATCTCTTCATATATATATATATATATATATATATATATATATATATATATACTCGCATACATGCATAAACTGTAAACACGACCATCGGATTTTGTTATCCTCAGTGTCCCACAAAGCTGATTTCTCGTGTTGGGTCATTTCATGCGACTTATTCTGGTGGTATGATATTCTTTATGACACCTGTTGCAGGAAAACAAAATGCAATTGTTCAAAGACACACATATGGCTGTTACATTTTTATTTTATTTTCTTCTCTTTGTTTCCTTTTGATCTTTGCAATGAGAATTGTTTATGTTTTCTCCTTTTAACAAGAATTTCTTTATATATTTCTCTAGTTCACCGTTTATGCATGCGGGCGTGTCGTTGTGTGTATGCGTGCGCTATCTGGTTGGGCGCGCCCGATGTCAATTGTGTCCACCCCAAACAATCAGATCTACTGCTTTTATCTCTTAAAACTAAATGACTCGATTATGCTTGAATGGCAGAATATAGTTTCGTTTAAAACATTTCTGTTGGTGCGTTAAGTCACTTATATATTTCTTTTTCTTAGACTTTTCGTCTATAATATACGTGACCTTCCTTCCAACACTAGTTGCATAATTCTATGTCTCTTCCAATTAGTTATTTTGTATATCTTCATTTTCTTCCTTTCCTTTTTTTACTTTTTTCTTCCTCCTCTCGATGTTCACCCTTTTCTTCCTCCTTTCACCCTTTTCTTCCTTCTTTCGATTTTTTCAGCCTTTTCTTCCTCCTTTCGCACTTTTCTTCCTTCTTTCGTTTTTTCACACTTTCCTTCCCCCTTTCACCCATTTCTTCCCCCTTTCACCCATTTCTACCTCCTTTCACCCATTTCTACCTCCTTTCGTTTTTTCACCCTTTTCTTTCTCCTTTCGCCATTTTCTTTCTCCTTTCGTTTTTTCAGCATATTCTTCTTCCTTTCACCCTTTTCTTCTTCCTTTTACCCTTTCTTTCCTCCATTTGTTTTATCGCTCTTTTCTCCCCTTTGACCATTTTCTTCCTCCTTTGACCATTTTCTTCCTCCTTTGACCATTTTCTTCCTCCTTTCAGCCTTTTCTTCCTTCTTTCGTTTTTTCACCCTTTTCTTCCACCTTTCACACGTTTCTTCCTTCTTTCGTTTTTTCACACGTTTCTTCCTTCTTTCGTTTTTTCACCCTTTTCTTCTTCCTTTCACCCTTTTCTTCTTCCTTTCACCATTTTCTTGTTCCTTTCACCCTTTTCTTGTTCCTTTCACCCTTTTCTTCTTCCTTTCACCATTTTTTTCTTCCTTTCACCCTTTTCTTCTTCCTTTCACCATTTTCTTCTTCCTTCCGTATTTCACCCTATTCTTCCTCCTCTCGTTTTTTCACCTTTTTCTTCCTCCTTTCACCCTTTTCTTCCTCCTTTCACCCTTTTCTACCTCCTTTCGTTCTTTCACCCTCTTCTTCTTTCTTTCACCCTCTTCTTCTTTCTTTCACCCTTTCTTTCCTCCATTTGTTTTATCGCTCTTTTCTTCCGCCTTTCACCATTTTCTTCCTCCTGTCACCATTTTCTTCCACCTTTCGTTTTTTCGCCATTTTCTTCTTCCTTTTACCATTTTCTTTCGCCTTTCACCTTTTTCATCCTTCTTTCGTTTTTTCACCCATTTCTTCCTCCTTTCGTTTTTTCACCCATTTCTTCCTCCTTTCGTTTTTTCACCACTTTCTTCCTCATTTCTTTTTTCTCTCTTTTCTTCCTTCTTTCACCCTATTCTTCCTCTTTACCTTTTTTTAAAATATACTTCCTCCTTTCACTTTTCTTCCTCCTTTTCCTCCTTTCACCATTTTCTTCCTCCTTTCACCCTATTCTTCCTCCTTTCACCCTTTTCTTCCTTCTTTCGTTTTTTCACACTTTTCTTCCCTTCCTCCTTTCAACCTCTTCTTTCTTCTTACGTTTTTTCACCTTTTTCTCCCTCCTTTCACCATTTTCTCCCTCCTTTCGTTTTTACACCCTTTTCTCCCTCCTTTTGTTTTTTCACCTTTCTCCCTCCTTTCACCCTTTTCTTCCTCCTTTCGTTTTTACACCCTTTTCTTCCTCTTTTCGTTTTTTCAACTTTTTCTTACACCTTTAACCCTTTTCTTCCACCTTTAACCCTTTTCTTACCCTTTTCGTTTTTTCATCATTTTCTTCCGCCTTTCACCATTTTCTTCCTAATTTCGTTTTTTCACCGTTTTATTCCGTCTTTCACCCTTTACTTCATTCTTTAACCCTATTCTTCCTCTTTTCGTTTTTTCATCTTTTTCTTCCTTCTTTCACCCTATTCCTCTTCTTTTCCTTTTTTTTTACCCTATTCTTCCTCCTTTCGGTTTTTCACCTTTTTCTTCCTGCTTTCACCCTTTTCTTCCTTCTTTCGTTTTTTCACACTTCTCTTCCCCCTTTCGTTTTTTCACCCTTTTCTTCCTCCTTTCGCTATTTTCTTCCTCCTTTTACATTTTTCACCCATTTATTCCTCTTTTCGTTTTTTCACCCATTTATTCCTCTTTTCGTTTTTTCACCCATTTATTCCTCTTTTCGTTTTTTTCACCCATTTCTTCCTTCTTCCGTTTTTCACCCATTTCTTCCTCCTTTCGTTTTTTCACCACTTTCTTCCTCATTTCTTTTTTCTCTCTTTTCTTCCTTCTTTCACCCTATTCTTCCTCTTTACCTTTTTTTAAAATATACTTCCTCCTTTCACACTTTTCTTCCTTCATTCGTTTTTTCTTCGTTTTTTCACCCATTTCTACTTCCTTTCGTTTTTCACCCTTTCCTTCCTCCTTTCGCCATTTCCTTCCTCCTTTCCTCCTTTCACTCTTTTCTTCCTCCTTTCACCATTTTCTTTCTACATTCGTTTTTTCACAATTTTCTTCATCCTTTCGTTTTTTCAAAATTTTCTTCTTCCTTTCGTTTTTTCCCCCTATTTTTTCATACTTTCACCCTTTTCTTCCTTCTTTCGTTTTTCCCCCCTTTTTTCCTTCTTTCGTTTTTCAACATTTTCTTCCCCATTTCACCCTTTTCTTCCTCTTTTCGTTTTTCAACCTTTTCACACTTTTTTCCTCCTTTCGTTTTTTCACTCTTTTTTTTCGCCTTTCGTGTTTTCACACTTGCTCCTTTTTTTTCATGCTTTTCTTCCTCATTTCGTTTTTTTCAAAATATACTTCCTCCTTTCGTTTTTTCACCCTTTTCTTCCACATTTAACCCTTTTCTTACACCTTTCGATTTTCAACATTTTCTTCCTCCTTTCACCATTTTCTTACTCATTTCGTTTTTTCCCCATTTTCTTCCTCCTTTCACCATTACTTCCTTCTTTCACCCTATTCTTCCTCCTTTCGTTTTTTCACCTTTTTCTTCCCCCTTTCACCATTTTCTTCCCAATTTCGTTTTTTCACACTTTTCTTCCTTCTTTCACCCTATTCTTCCTCTTTTCCTTTTTTCAACCTATTCTTACACCTTTCGTTTTTTTTTTCAAAAGTTACTTCCTCTTTTCGTTTTTCACCCTTCTCTTCCTCCTTTCACCCTTCTCTTCTTCCTTTCACCCTTCTCTTCTTCCTTTCACCCTTCTCTTCCTCCTTTCGTTTTTTCAACATTTTCTTCCTCCTTTCGTTTTATTCAACATTTTCTTCCTTCTTTCACCCTTTTCTTTCTACTTTTTTTTACCCATTTCTTCCACGTTTCGCCATTTTCTTCCCCCTTTCGTTTCTTCACACTTTTCTTCCTCCTTTCGTTTTTTCACCCTTTTCTTCCTACTTTCACCCTATTCTTCCTCTTTTCCTTTTTTTCAACCTATTCTTCCACCTTTCGTTTTTTTTTTCAAAATTTACTTCCTCTTTTCGTTTTTCACCTTTTTCTTCCTCCTTTCACCCATCTCTTCCTCCTTTCGTTTTTTCACCCATCTCTTCCTCCTTTCGTTTTTTCACCCATCTCTTCCTCCTTTCGTTTTTTCACCCATCTCTTCCTCCTTTCGTTTTTTCGCACATTTCTACCTCCTTTCGCCATTTTCTTCCCTCTTTTCATTTTTCACCCATTTATTCCTTTTTTCGTTTTTTCAAAATTTTCTTCCTCCTTTCGTTTTTTCATCATTTTCTTCCTTTTGTTTTTCACCACTTTCTTCCTTCTTTCACCCTTTTCTTTCTACTTTCGTTTTTTCACCCATTTCTTCCTCCTTTCGACATTTTCTTCCCCCTTTCGTTTTTTTACACTTTTCTTCCCCCTTTCGTTTTTTTACACTTTTCTTCCCCCTTTCGTTTTTTCACACTTTTCTTCCTCCTTTCGTTTTTTCACACTTTTCTTCCTCCTTTCACCCTTTTCTTCCTCATTTCTTTTTTCACCCTTTTCTTCCTTCTTTTCTTCCTTCTTTCACCCTATTCTTCCTCCTTTCGTTTTGTCACCCTTTTCTTCCTACTTTTGCCCTTTTCTTCCTTCTTTCGTTTTTCACCCTTTTCTTCCTCCTTTTTTTTACCCTATTCTTCCTCATTTCGTTTTTTCAAAATATAATTCCTCCTTTCGTTTTTTCACCCTTTTTTTCCCCCTTTCACGCTTTTCTTCCGACTTTCACCATTTTCTTCGTTTTTTCGCCCTTTTCTTCCTCCTTTAGTTTTTTCACCCTTTTCTTCCTCCTTTCACCCTTTTCTTCCTACATTCGTTTTTTCACCCTTTTCTTCCTCCTTTCGCAATTTTCTTCCTAGTTTCGTTTTTTCAAAATTTTCTTCCTCCTTTCGTTTTTTCACCTTTTTCTTCATCCTTTCACCCTTTTCTTCCTTTCGTTTTTTCACCCTTTTCGTCCACCCTTATTATTTTCCCCCTTTTCTTCCTCCTTTCGTTTTTCGCCCTTTTCTTCCACCTTTCGCCCTTTTCTTCCACCTTTCGCCCTTTTCTTCCTCATTTCGTTTTTTTACCATTTTCTTCCTCCTTTCGATTTTCGCCCATTTCTTCATACTTTTGTTTTTTGACCCTTTTCTACCTCCTTTCACCGTTTTCTCCGTCCTTTCGATTTTTCACCATTTTCTTCCTCCATTCATCCTTTTTTCCACATTTCGTTTTTTCAACATTTTCTTCCTCATTTCCTTCTTTAACCCCATTCTTCTTTTCGTTTTTTCACCCTTCTGCCTTTGTTTTTTCTCCCATTTCTACCTCTTTTCGTTTTTTCTCCCATTTCTTTCTCCTTTCGTTATTTCAGCATTTTCTTTCTCCTTTCGTTATTTCAGCATTTTCTTTCTCCTTTCGTTATTTCAGCATTTTCTTTCTCCTTTCACCCTTTTCTTTCTCCTTTCGTTTTTTCACCCTTTTCTACCTCCTTTCATCGTTTTCTTCCCCCTTCCGTTTTTTCACCCTTTTCTTCCTCCTTTCACCCTTTTCTTCATTTCGTTTTTTCCAAATTTTCTTCCTCCTTTCGTTTCTTTCACCTTTTTTTTCGTTTTTCCACCCTTTTCTTCCTTCTTTCGTTTTCCCACCCTTTTCTTCCTCCTTTCGTTTTTTCACCTTGTTTTTTTCCTCCGTTTACCATTTTCTTCCTACTTTCGGTTTTTCTGCATTTTCTTCCTCCTTTTCGTTTCTTACCCTTTTCTTCCTACTTTTCGTTTTTTACCCTTTTCTTCCTCCTTTCACCCTTTTCTTCCTCCTTTCACCCCATTCTTTTCGTTTTTTCAAAATTTACTTCCTTCTTTCTTTTTTTCACCCTTTTTTTCGCCTTTCTCCATTTTCTTCGTTTTTTTCAACTGTTTGTACCTCTTTTCGTTTTTACACCATTTTCTTCCTTCTTTCGCCATTTTCTTCCTCCTTTCGGTTTTTCACCCTATTCTTCCTCCTTTCGGTTTTTCACCCTATTCTTCCTCCTTTCGGTTTTTCACCCTATTCTTCCTCCTTTCGGTTTTTCACCCTTTTCTTCCTTCTTTCGTTTTTTCACCCTTTTCTTCCACGTTTCACCATTTCCTTCGTTTTTTCACCCATTTCGACCTCCTTTCGTTTTTTGACCCTTTTCTTCCTCCTTTCGCTATTTTCTTTCTCTTTTTTGTTTTTTACCCTTTTCTTCCTCCCTTTAACCTTTTCTTCCTCCTTACGTTTTCCACCCTTTTCTTTCTCCTTTCACCCTTTTCTTTCTCCTTTCACCCTATTCTTTCGCTTTTCACCCTTTTCTTCTTTTCGTTTTTCAAAATTTTCTTCCTCCTTTCACCCTTTTCTTTCTTTTCACTATCTTCTTCCTCCTGTCTTTCTTTTCACCCTCTTCTTCCTTTCTTAAATACCGCAAATGTGAAAGCTCGGCTGAATAGTGGGGTCACTGCGATTACCATATTTCGATACAGGTGGATCGTCTACTCTTCTTCGCCACCATTCTGAACGTAAACCTTATTTATATGTCATGTCCTTTCAGGACGTAGGCAAACATGGCTCTCCATCTCCCATTATCCCTTGCTGCTCTCAACAAGTTCCTTCCCTCTGCTTCCTCCCCCAGACCACGTTCTGTCATCCACTTGCTCAAGCCCGCCAGGGATGTCACGCGCTGCTTTCCCTTGTCTCTCGTCTCTCTTTCCTTCTATTCGACTTGTGAGTATCAGATTCTCAAGGCCTTCCTTCCTCATAATGTGTCCCAGAAACTTCAGCTGCCTCTTTCTGATGTTAAGCATGAGTCTCCTTCTTGTCTGCATCCTTTCTAAGATCTCGACGTTGCTCACACGATCGGTCGACCAAATCCTCAGCATCCTCTACATCTCCGTGGCCTCGAGTTTCTTCATCTTTAAGGAAATCGTCCAGCATTCGCTGCCGTAAAGAAGGACAGATGTCACGTAACAGCTCAGTATCCATTTCTTATTCTTATTGTCTTGCAATACTCTGCCCAGCTTTTAGAATGCGTCCTTGGCCATCGCAATACGTCTACGGATCTCAGTGTCGCACTTATCGTCCTCTGTCAAAACATTTCCCAGATATTTAAACTTCAGCATTTGCTTGATCCTAGTGTTCTCGACCAGCAAATCGCATTTCGGGTTCATCCTTTTTTACTAATGACCATGCATTCGGTTCTTTTGTAGTTTATGCTTAGTCCTTTCTTCACGCTCTCCGTCGTTACCTTTTGTAGGAGATTTTATTTCTTTTCCGTGTCTGCTATCAGTACTGTGTCATCTGCGTATCTTATGTTAAGATTGTGGCTGCCAATGCTAAATATCGGTAGGGTTTTCAATTCTCTCAGAATTTCTTCGCTGTATAGGTTGAACAGGTCGTGCGAGAAGACGCATCCTTG